TGGTGAAAATGTGTAAGCAAGCATCCTCAGAGCCTTTCTATAGTAGTGAATAAAGAGCCACAATGGATCCAACCCAGAACAAAGTAGGTTAATTCCCCTCTGTTGCTCTGAAAACCTGAAATATTGCCATTCTAAACGTATGTACCGTATTTATCCTCACCATACCCAAGAGGAAAGGGAAGTGCTAGTGTCCTTGTTTACAGATGGGGAACTGAGGAACAGAGACTAAATGATTTGGCCAAGGTTGCATGGAAAATCTGTGGTGAACTCGAAGGTGGGTCTCCTGTATCCCAGACTGTAACGGCTGGTCACCACCCCTTCCTCTGAGTTGTCTCAAATATTAGCAGCTAGTGGTATGCCACTAACAGCATCTGTTTGGTCTTTAGTACTGTTTATGCTGCCAAATTGACTAACAAATCTCTGGACTAGAAGTTCGAGTAGCAGCATGCTTTGCAGCCCTTACCGCTTGTCCTTATTTCACTTCTATTGTTTAATGGATTTGGAAAGGAAGAGAAACAGTTCCCTAATGGCCCAGGGATGCTGCATTCCAAACAAACTGATGTCATGTGGTAACGTGCAGCTTTGCTTCCATGGAACGTTTTACAGGAACAACTCTAAACACTGTACAGCAAATGCAATCAATGGATGAGTGAGCTGTCGGCTTACGGGGTTGGTGCATATTTGGGGGTGTATATTGCAGTGCCAGAGTACAGTCAGGGGAATCAAGGTGAAACATGACCCTCCCTCAAATTAACCATGTGATAGGACAGGCATCAGGCAAGACTCTGCCAATCAACTGCCGCACTGTTGTCATGCTAAGAGCCTAAAGACTTGTTCTGTATGAAATGGATCAACTTGCAGCCATCTCCATCTTCTGTACTGAGTAGGGTGACCAGACAGCAAGCATGAAAAATTGGGACAGGGGTGGGCGGTAATAGGCACCTATATAAGATGAAGCCCCAAATATTGGCACTGTCCCAGGACATCTGGTCACCCTTACACTGAGGCATGGCTGGGAGAGGCTCCAGGTCCCTGCATACAATGTCCCATCTCGATTCAAGCAGCCAGTCTACTTGCCACAAGGCAGTCTGCTGAACATTGAGCCAAACCTGAGAAAAGGGTGCGTGGGTCAGTTGGATGTCTCTGTGGGGCTGATTGATATGAGTACTAAGAGTTAATACATATAATTTGATGGTGCAATTCCTTCAGAGTTTAGGTGTGACCATCCCTTTAACTCACTAAGCGGCTTGTCTTGTTAACGACAGACCTCCCAGGGACAGATCATAACATATGCTAAGGGTTACAATGCCACTAGCCCAGTCTGCATAAGGCAACTTTTAGTCCTAGTCATCGATTAACATTACAACAGTTTTCCTGGAACAGTTTTTCTTCTTCTTTTCACAATTTAGTCTTTCCTTACTAAGTGCATAGCAACTTCCTAGAGCCAATGACTATACGAACCCCCAAACGATCAAATTAAAGGTGGAAGATGCATTATTTTGATTCCTGAGGGTTTGAGTAAATTAAACAAATACTCAAATTAACCAGTGCTTAAATTATCAAATAAATATTACCATATGTTGCCCATACAGGGTTTTTGTTTTTTTGTAGTTATCTGTTAGAGTAGTGAATCTACTGCTTTCTAAGGGCTTGATCCTTAAAACAAAAAATCCTTTAGGCAATAAATAATCCCTTTGACATCTGTTAAGCATGTGCATAAATTTTTGGAGGTTCAGGGCTTAAGCCATCCATTTGCATGTGCCAGGAGTAATGGCAAAGTCACATGCAATAAATGGAATTGAAAAAGGGGGTGGGAAATCGAAGTGTGCAAGTGGAAACGTGCATGTAAATAAGGGACCACGGTAAGCCACTCTCAGCTTCCTGTTCTGCACGTGACCAGCAATCTGGCTAGCCTGCATGTCCTAACAGGTCAAACAGTGCCTGGATAATCTGGAAATGAGCAAGTTACAAATTCCTACAAAGAGCGAGATCTTGTCTGTCTTTAACTGCTATTATTTTAGGAATCCTGCACACCAGTGAAACGCCCCCACCCTCTGTATTTCACACAAGCAGCAGAATAACCACTGATCAGTAACTTTATACTTCTCTAGAGTGTTTTAACAAACATTAAGCCTTGTGTGATGGGTTAATACTCATTTTGCAAATGTGGCAACAGATTGACAGAGAGAGGTTAAGGCCAAAATTTGCAAACTTTTAAGTGCCTCAAGTTAGTCACCTAAATAAGTGGTTTGATTTTTCAGGGGCTCTGATTCCAGTCCCTATGTGCGCTCCGCAGCACTTGAAACCAAGCCACATTTTCTGCAGGAAGGTTGCCTCATTTTAGCCATTCAAAGTGTTGTCCGAAAGCGACTTATCAACGAATCAGTAACTGCAAATAGGATCTGGGAATCCTGACTTCCACTCCCCTGCTCTGAGGGTTCCATCTCATGAACCTTGGCACAAATGCTGAGTTATAGTATGATCTAAGTGAATGTACATGCTGTAACCTTTACATAAATGCTTGAATCAACTGTTTTTACTAATGTATTTTTGTTACAGTCACACATTGTATGGGTCTCCCTCCGGTGGCTAATTTAATATCTACAACTTCATGGGGTTTTCTCATTTGTAAGACTTCCGTGTAGACATGAGAAGGTGCTAGGGATTATACTGCCACTAAAATTCTTATTAATGCCTATTTTCAACCATAGACATGACCTGCTGACATTTGTCACTCATTTTGTCAGTCAGCAAGATATTATCAAATGAAAAATGCAAGATTAGAAGGAGATCCCTTTCCCCAGTGGCTTTATCAGGCAAAACAGGTGGAAGCCTGCTTTCTGCAACATATCTAACTTCACAACTATGGCTCAAATTAATACTTGTTTGAAGAGAAAAATTGATTTACCTGATGGGAGATTCAACAGTGTCAGTGGATCAAGTATTTCACAAAGACAGCAAACAGTAGGTTTTCCCTATTAGGTTAAATGATATCAAGCTCTGTTTTCTTAGAATCAACGATATAGCAGTGGCTCTTTTTGTTTTACCTTGTTTACATTTCCTTTCAATAGCAAAACACTTGGCTAGGGAATATTTATTTTACTTTCCATTAATAATTTTAACTACTTATTTGAGGTGACCAATTTTACCATACTTAATGTACATTTATGTATCGGTAAAGGTATGTGACTTGTTCAGTAGACAACTCAAAAGCATGACAAACGCATCTGCTTAGGAATTTCAAGAGAAACTTGAAATCAGACCAGGCCCGCTCAAAATTTTGTTAAAAGTTGCTCACCTTGCGTAAACCGAGAAAGAACAAGGCACATGTCAACTTGAGTCTGTGACCTTGTGGTTTCAAATAAGTTTCATTTATTGAGTATGTGTCTAGTGTAGCAGGGCTTGATCTTGATTGGGAGCTACCAGAATACAAATAATACAGATATGGAACTCAAAGCAAAATTTGGAGGCAAAGTAAGAATTTGCAAATTGAAACAGAAGGAAGAGTTTGCACCAGCCCATGAAACAAAACCACCAAAGCTAGAAAGGACATAGTTAGGAGAGTACAGAGACTCTAATTTGGTACATTCATCCATGGAGTGAAAGCTGCAGTTATTTATTTTCTTTAATAATTTAAAGATAGTCTTTGTTTCTTTTTCTCCATCAGCACTTAAATATTTTGGTCTCCATGGAACTGGGAAGCTTTGGACTTTGCTTGGTGTGGATATGGATTGAAAGTCAAGTTCAATGGAAAAAACATTGACATCCCACACTCAGAGACCATGAGTAAGCAGTTAAAAAAATAAATATGTTGCTCATGAAATTGACAAACTGGCAGGGGACTGTCATAGTTCTGGGCCAGTACTTCAGATCCTTCCCCTTTGATACTTTCATTAGAAGAGTGCTTAAAGTCCACAAAGCCCTAACCTCTTCTTTAGAAGCCTAAAACTAATCATCAAAGCAGAAAGTGCCAGCGAGACACACACAGATCCAGAGCTATTTGGGGACTATGGCTATGTCCAATACCTGGAAAATTGAAGGATGTTTTTCAGTATCTAAACATTGGTGTCCCTGATTTCTGGGATATGACTATCGACTATGCCACAACCAGTGTTCACGCACCAGATCATGTAGTTAGGAATCAAATGAATATGTTTAACACACACCTGTTTTAAATAACACCCTAGCTTATTTATGGGTTAGCACAGACTTGTGGTCACGTTGACAAGTTAAATGGCAGCAGCGTCCTCTTCTAGAGCCTGATCCAAAGGGCAGTGAAGTCCATGGACTCATTTAGCTGTTTCCTAGCCACAGGAACAGCCTGTGAAAACCGGACACGTTCTAACCATAAATTCTTTTAAAGTGAGTATTACAGGCTGACCCGCTTGTCATGCCAATGCACTTCATTCCTGGCCTGCAGCCTTTACGTTTTTTATATTGAAATTTCATCTGCTGGATCACAAATCAGCTTTTTGTGCAGCTCCTCCCCAGCATCCTTTGAGCACAGACTGCTGCCTGCGTGAGAGTTTTGTAAAGCGGATACATGTCCACCATGGAACTAAAAAGAGCTTGTTACTTGAATTAGCTGTCAAGAGCTGAGCTGATCATACCTTTGACACCACAAGCAGAGAAGGCCACTGCTCATCAGGCTACATTAAGTGATGCACATGTTCAGTCTGTCTTCAAATGGCACTGTGTATTTTACAGAGGAATTCTTGTTAAGTACACACATATATGACCACTGTAGTATGCAACAGATTTCCCATAACATTTTATTTTGAAAATCTGAGGGAGGCGGGTTCATCTTTTAGATGAACATTATATACAAAGTCTTATAACCAAGGCTGCTGCAAAAGAAAAGAGAAGGTGTAAAAAAAAAATCTTTCAGCAGGACTGGTTTTATTTTGTAACAAAAGAGTGCATCTAGAAGTAAATGAAGAGATGTATCAAAGAGCAAAAGTGATCTGGTACATAAAACAAAGGAGCTGCTGAGACTTAAATGGCCAATTCACAGCTCAAACATGTTAAAGCAGACAGAAGTCTGAATTACTGCTGCTTTCCTAATGGTTAAGAAACAAGGAAACTGAAAGAAGCCTCTTCCTTAAACACTGGTGAACAGAAAAACAACAGGAGATACATCCAGTGGTACTATGGGATGGCATTGTGAGATGGAAGATCAGCTCACAGTTTTATCACTTTCTCCATTTTCTATTAATTTTCTTTTCTTTTCATCTGTTTTCCTCTTGAAGATGCTATTTCTGTAGAACTGAAGTTCTTTGATGCTTTCCCTGATGTCATCGAGTGCCCTGCAAGAGAATTAAGGAAGGTTTCAAAATGCACAAACACTCAGGCTAAATTTGGATTCTGATGCATTTCACAAATTCCAAACTGTAAAAAAAAATAGTAGAACACTGAGAAATATATCATGCACAAATCTGTCAGTAATAAAACCACCTTATCTAGACTGAGTAATACAGGAAACAGTAAAAGTTCAGCAGGACAGGCATGCAAGGAAGTAACACATTACTTATTGGTTTGTGCTATTATGCAAGGCATAAGCTCTAGCAAGCCAATAGATTCCATGACTTCAGAGGACTGGACTAGATAACCTCTAGAGGTCCCTTCCAGTCCTATGATTCTAGCGTAGTTGAGGGCAAGGGCAGGTAAACTGAGCGGAACGGGTCCATGTTGATGAATATGGAATTTAACACTACCTGGCCTGAAAACCAAAGAGGTTAGTTTACCCACTTTTGTTTTTTAAAATCACTGCACGACTTCAGCTATTAAAACAAGTATCGGTATTAGTCTGAGATGCCTAACAATGGTCAAGGACTCAAGAGACCCGGATTCTATTCCTGGTTTGGCCAATTAGCTGCTGAGAGACCCTGAGCAAATTGCTTTACTTGTCTGTTTCTCCTCCCACCCTTTGTCTGGTCTATGTAAACTCTTTGGGGCAGAGACGCTTTCATTATGTATTTGTACAGTGCCTAGCACAAATGGACCCTGACTTCAGGTAGGGCCTCTAACGTACCATAATACAAATAATTATTAGAAAAGGACAGTTGTCAAGAACAGTATTTAGTAAAACCCAACAAACAAAAAATCGAATCAGGACCTAGATTCCGGTCACTCTGAAATCTAAGTAAAGCCCTAGCTAAATACCAGATTCCAGAAGACAGTGCTTCCTGAAATCAGGGCACCATCAGCCAATCTTTACTTGACGATGATGATGATGTTTCGTTCCAACAAATGCGTCCTGAAACTGTGCCAAAAACATGCCAGCATCCAGCAAGCATCAGCAGTAACCAAACTGTCCCCATAACCTCCCTAGCCATCTTTGTATTTTAATGCACAACAGTTTTAAACACCAATCTTTAGCAGTAGGATGGAATGGCTGGGAATCACCTTCTGCAATATGCCAGGCTTTAGAAGGCAAAGGCCTGGCTATGATGCAGGCTGCTCCCTTTGAACCCTGAGCCTTCATGTGCCCATCTTACAGAGCCCATGCATCAGAGAGCTAGGGAAAGAGGTACTTGAAGATTCAGTTACTCCTTTTCCCAAAGATTCCCATGCAATTAGCAACAACTTTTCTCCATCCCTGCATGAAAGAACTGTCCCTTATCCTAAAACAGGAGAGGTTTCAAGAGGCCGTAAAAATAACTTATGCTCATTTTAACTTTTGATGTAAAAGGGACCATCTGCCAATGGCGTTATGCGCCCAGAGGGAAGGCATCTCAGTACTGTTCCTGTTGGCTTCTTATTTATGCTAAGTCATCGTTGCTTCGTTTCCCAATGGGAATGAGTTAAAACCGCCATCAGTCCTGTTGAGCCGATAGAGCTTTATTGCTCCACTTTGGATAGCAGCAGCAATCTGCCAGACAAGTTCTGTTTTCCAGATCTTTATTTATGAAATAAACAAAGTAAATGTTTATATTACAATACTACCCAGAGGCCTAAGTCAGAACTGAGGCCTCGCTGTGCTAGGCACAATATTCGGAAAAACAGGGGGACCAATCCTGCCCCTCTCGAGTCAACGGCAAAACTCATCTAGACTCCACAGGGCTCTGGGTCAGATTCCTGGTGCTGGCCCTGAAACGATCTAGGAGAAAGTTTTAATACTTTCAACTACACAGCACCTTTCATCAGAGGATCTGAAAGCAAGTTATCAATGTTAACTATGCCTCGGAACATCAGTTAGGTAGTAAATCAAGGTTAACCCCACTTCACAGATAGGGAAACAGGCATCAATACATCACAAACCCAATCTCCCAATCCTCTGCTTTCACTACTGGTCCTCTGGTAACAGCTTTGCTTCAATACAAAACTTATGAATGTTCTATCTTAGTTTTTTCTGAGATGCTTAGCTCTGTGCTATGTAAGTGCTGTGAACATGTATTTGTCAGGACAAATATCTTGGCTTAGTAAACTGAGCAAGTCATTAATGGATAATAAATTACTTCTGTTTTCTGTATTTTTACAGAGTAACTTTTTTTGCCATAATCAGACTTTAAAGAGAGAGATATGGCAAGGAATAGAATTACACAGACTTCCAATGCCATTGCCAATAGAACTAACATGTCAGGTTTTCAAAGAAATTGGTATGCTCCATATTCTAGTAGAAGAGAGTACTGTAGCTTAAAGATATGACAAATGTACTACATTAAAGGCAACAGTGGAAGTCTCACCTGTGAGAAGCCACCTTCTTTGGTGCAAATTCAAATTCTTCTGGATACCAGCGCCTGTATATGGAAGAAATTGAGTTTTAAATCCATACATCTTAAATACATAGTCAGAGGTCTCTTTGGGTTTGCTACAATGGGAAATGTCTCTTCAGTGCAAAAATTTGAATTTCACTGTCATTCAGAAAAGTTACTGTTATAAGCATCAAAATAATATAATCCATGTGAGAGCTAAACACCTCCCCACTCTGCGTGCAGTTCAGTAAGTAGGTCCTCGTCCTTTTTCTGTTTGATCCTAGTGGAATATCTGAAAGAACTAAATGGCTGCACACTGCTCTTTTCCTGCTGTCCTCCTCTCTTGTTTTAGAAGAAAATTAGTAAAATATAATAGAGCTCCTTAGATCTTTTTACAATAACTTTGTATGGTATTTACCTGCAAAGTTCTTTGACAGTGCTCACATCAATTATCCTGTAATGAACGTGCCTCATGAACTGAGGCATATATTTGTCAAGAAACTTCTTATCTGCATGAACAGAGTTTCCTAGATAAAGACAAAACAGATATTTCTTTCAAAGACTTTACAAAGCTACAGTGAATTACATCTGAACTAGAGGTAGGCTATGCAGACTGAGGAAATCACATATGACTTCTAAATGTTTTCAGTCAGGTCATAAGTCTCATGTTCCAATAAATATGATTTTAAAGGTTTCTGTCTGATTTCCATTCTGGGATCACTTCTGTGTGGTTTAAATATATAATCTCTCTGCATTGAATTCTTCAATTACTTTGTCTACAATTTCTGCATAAGCTTTCGTGGGTGAATGCCAACTTCGTCGGTCCCATGCATCCGATGAAGTGGGCATTCACCCACGAAAGCTTATGCACCAATACATCTGCTAGTCTTAAAGGTGCCACAGGAGACTCTGTTGCTTTTTACAGATCCAGACTAACACGGCTACCCCTCTGATACTCTACAATTTCTGTGTCACAAACATAATTATTTCAATAAAAATAAAAATATTACACAAACAACCAGGTTTTCCACTAAGGGTAAATAAGCTTTACTGTTTGTTTAATATATTTTCCTCAGGTCATCCTTTTGACCTCTGTGAGTCAGGGTTCTGAGTCACCATTAAGTAACAGGACATTCAGAATAGCGGTACTTAGAGGCTGATTGGATTCATATCAGCAGTTAGTTCCCTATTTTTCTTTTGCATTCACAAAAGGCTAACAACACTAAGTCGCACCAATAATGAAATATTACTAGTAACAGGAATTTAAGTTTCCTGCAGAGCTATGGGGATTTTCAGAAATCCATACATAATATTTGCTTCAGGCAATTTATAGAATGGATGATACCTATTGCTGAACTTCCCCTGATTAATGAAATTTGATTGCATGCAGATCTCCAGGTAGGAGATGAAATCACTCCTACATTGTGCATTAACAGGCTTTTCAAAGCCCCACTGGGAATGAAAGGAGGATTGATTTTATTAGTATTAAAAATATAAGTACACATTTTACCTGCAAGAGGGCAGAGACCGGGTGGTGTTTGCTGTCGTACAAAGGACAGAAATTCATACTCTGCTTGCTGCAATGAAATTGTACTTTCTTTCACTGCCTTAGTAAGGCCAGACTGCAAGAAAGAGGCATCCATCACCAATCAAATATTTACCATTATTTAAAAATACTTCTAGCATATTTAAGTAGCAGTCAAAACCAACTAATGGCACATTTAATGCCCAGAAGTATTAAAAAAGATGACAACTTAACACTTAAATGTAACCTTTTGGAAGGTCTTAACGTTTTACCAAGTGCATCAGTGTTTATCCACTTCAATCCTAGCTAAGGGACAGATGATAGCATTGTGGACCAGACAAGATGCTGGTCAGTATAGCTGCTTAAATCCAGAACCCTGTGAACATCAGTAAAACTAGCAAGAATCATGTCAGTTTCACACTGCTGCTCAGAGCTTTCCCAAGCAGCAGTTAACATCAGCCATTGTTGGTAGGTTTATTTCTCTAGCTAGAAGGTGTCTAGTAAAATTTTCAAGGCCTGTTCAAAGTTGCTGCAAGTCGAGGTTGTTAAGGCCCTTCGGATAGTCTGTTTCAGGTTAGTCTTGTGGTTAAGGCACTGGATTGGATCTCAGAAGATCTGGATTCAATTTTCAGTTCAGACATGGACTTTTTGTGAGATCCTGGGCAAATCACAACCTCTCTCTGCCTCAGTTCCCCATCTGTAAAATGGGGATATTTCCTTTCTCCCACCTTTTGTCATCTACATTTAGAATGTAAGCTCTTCAGAACAGGAACCGTCTCTAAAGTGTTCATATAGCACCTAACACAATTTTGAGATTAAGAATTATAGAGCCAGACGAGTACCCAGAAGTCACCTCCTACAAGACAGGCCCAACAAAGAAAATAACAGAACACCACTA